AGTTTGACTAGGATGCTTGGCAATATTCTTAACACAAGATTAAAGGGATGACTTTGACATTTGACAGTTTCTCATGCTATTCTTGTGCAGAATATGAAAAGATGTAGGATAAATGATATAGTTAGACGGATCTAGAATTAGAGGCAGCTGGTGGCACAGTGGATAGAGTTCTGGGCCTGGAGTCAGGAAGAACTGAGTTTAAATCTGACACTTGGTAGCTGTGTGACCCTGGCAAAATAACTTCAGTTTCCTCAAATGTAAAACGGGGATTATATGCCTACTTCAAAAGATTGTTGTGAGGATTGAATAAGATATTTGTAAAAAGTGCTTAGCATAGTAGGTGCTTAAGAAATGCTAATTCCCTCCCTGATTGAAATGGACAAACCAAGAGAATAGTTAATGGTTTGAATTCAATTTGGAAGGTCTCCAGTGGGGATGTCTTGCTCAAGGATCTATGCTTGGCCCTGAACAGTTTAATATTCTTTATCAGTGCCAGACAATATGCTTATTAAATCTGCATATGATGTAAAGGTGAAAGATGATGACGTAATCAAAATCTTAAATAAATCAAACTACAGCAAACTAAATGAGGCCTCCATCTTCATACTGCCTAGATTTTTTTTTTACTTTTTTAAATAAAGTTTTAATTATGTTTTTAAAATGTAAGAACTATTCTTAGCTCAGTGACACAAAAACAGGCAGCAGGCTGGATTTGGCTCTCAAGTCAGTTTGCCAATCTGTTGGCTAGAAAGTTGGACCAAATCTATTAAGATTTTAGTAATAAGAAACTTAAAATGAATAAATAAAATCTTACACTTGGGTTCAAAAAACTTACTTCACAAGTACAAGATTTTGGGAGGCACAGCAATTAGCAGCTTATCAGAAAGAGACAATTGAGTTTTAGTAGACTGGAAGCTCAATATCAACCACTAATGTGATGTGGGAGCTAAAAAGGCTAAGGACACTCTTTAAAGGCAGGTCACTACAAACATACTACAGGTTTCTTGAACCCATCACGTCTCTCCATTGTTATTTGGGTCACTCACAACCGATCATTCAAAGACTGTCGCTCATAACACATAACATGCCATCACTGAAAAGTATTTTTGGTTCAAAAGTTTGGTTTTTGCGACAAGGGACAGATTAGGGTCAGTAAAAGCACTGCAGTTGCCCAACTATAACCTACCCTTCTCTTTCGCTTTTATTCAATGAGGGGCCAAACTAATTTTCCATTTTGTTAGAAGGGTTCTTAGCCTGGAATCCATGAATTTATTTTAATATCCTGATATCTGTATTAGAAGGGTTCTTAGCCTGGAATCCATGAATTTATTTTAATATCCTGATATCTGTATTTCAATACAGTTTCCTTTGTAACTTATAGATTATACATTTAAAAAACATTCTGAGAAAGGGTTCATAGGCTTTGTTAGACTGCCAAATGGGTTCATGACAGAAAAAAGTTAAGAACCCCCATTGTAGATCCATATGATATACTAGTTCAGTGAACTGACTGTCCAACTGCCTGTCAGTCCAGATAAAAAAAATTTTCTCATCCATTTGGTTTTTCATCTGCAGATTTTTAGGTGGATTTCTTTTGTGTAAGTATGAATCTCACTGAAGAAATTCTGTCATGTTCTGGGCCTTGATACAACACATAAAATGATACTTGAAAAAACCCAATAATATCTGGGGAACCTCACTCTTTAGGAAATCCCCCTTGCATTTGGACTTTGAACTGGACATGCTCCATGAGAGTGGTGAACACTCTCAAAAAGCCTATCTTTCTGTTTTATGCCTTTAATAGATTTTTTATTGTTATCAAGGTACAAAAAAAAAATTGAAGTTTACAGACCAAAATTTAATTCCAGGATGAAGCAGTTAATAAATTTTACAAAGAACTTGACAAAACATTTTAAACCAAGTCAAAAAATAAACTGCCACTTGGGGACTTCAATGAGAAAGTCAACACAGGAGATTATGGCAAAAATATATTGGAAACTGTGATCCAAGATTAAGAGGAAGGAAAGCTGCTACTCCCTTCTTGACAGAGAGGTGATGGACTAATATGCTAAATAAAATATACATTTTAGGGCATGGCTAATATGGGAATTTGCTTTGCTTGAGTGTGCATGTTTGTTAGGAAAGTTTTTGTTTTTCCTTTTTTTAGTGAGGAAGAGGTGGAAGGGGAAAAATAAATGCTTAATAATTAAGAAGTCCCCCCCATTCATGACACACCTGACAAGCAGTCAATCATCAAGAAGCATTTATCATCTACTATGCGCTAGGAACTGGTCATCCAGCTTTTGTTTGAAGACATGGCTAGAAAGCAACCAATGGGCAAAAAATAATCTAGGCCGAGCAAATTGTAAGCTGAGTCAATAATATGATGTGTCAAGAAAGAGCGATCTCGCTGAACTCTGCTTCTGATAGACCACATCTGGAATATCAGGTCCAGCTTGAGTAATACATTTAAAAAGTAAAAGTGATTAGCTACTTCACAACAACAAAAAAGGAACCAGGACAGACTAAAAATTATTTAAAGTATGAATCTGCTGAAGAAAATGGGATTTAACATGGGGAGAAAAAGTATTGGGGGGGGTGGAAGGAGAAGAGGGGCATGATAGCAGTTACCAAATATTTGGAGGGTTATCACCTAGATAAGGGATTGGACTTTCTGGCTCTTGAAAGCAGAAGGAAGTGCCAATTGATAGAAGTTACAGAGATATAGAATTACAGTCTCAGGAAAGGAAGGTACCACAGAATTCATCTATTCCAGGGGCGGGGAACCTGTGGCCTTCAAGGCTATATGTGACCCTCTGGGTCCTCAAGTGTTGCCCTTTGACCGAATTCAAACTTCATAAATAATAATAATATTAAACGGATCTGTTCTGTAAAACATGGGCTCAGTCAAAAGGCTGCATCCAAGGACCATTCTATTCTAACTCAAACCAGAAAAAGAATCTTTCCTCAAGTACACCCAAAAAGTGATCATTCATCTTTTGCTAGCTTTCCAGTGTGGGGGAATCCATTACTCTTAAACCAACCTATTACTATTTTGGAGAGCTCTGTTGGAAAGCTTTCCCTAAACCAAGCTTAAATTGGTCTCTAACTTTTACCCATTGTTCCTAGTTCTGTTCTCTACAGCCAAACAGATTTAGGTTTGAGTCAACTTCCACAAGGCATCCACCCTTCAAATACCTGAATGCAGTAATCGTGTCCCTACCTCTTCCCAGTTCTCTCTTCTCCCAGCTAAGCATTCTCAGTTCCTTGAAGTGAATCTCACAACCCTGGCTACCTTCCTTAATGTTTTTCCTGAAATAATAGTACCTACAATGGAATACAATACTCCAGATATAGTATGACCAGAGCAAAGAACAAGAGGATAAACATCTTCCTATTCTTGAACACTAATAAACCCTAAATTACATTCCTTAGTCAACACATTATCACACTGTTGGCTCAGTAAGCCTATAGTCCACTAAAACCCTCAGATCTGTTTCTGAGTTTAGATCAAGGGTTCTTTATTTGAGATCTGTAAATTTTTTTAAAAATTTTGATAACTACATTTCAACATAATTTCATTTCCTTTGGAATCCTATACACATTTTATTTATTAAAAAATATTCTGAAGTCTAGGCTTCAAAGTGCCAAAGGTAATCATTACACAAAAAAGGTTAAGAACTCCTGGTTTAGATAAACTGCTAACCATGCTTCTACCTTATATTTGTGAAGATGATTTTCTCAACCATAATGTAAGACTATATTTATTCCTATACTTGGTCAAATATGCTAGCCAGTCAAACTTTTTAAACACTAAATCTCTGGTGAATTTATAAAAATGGCATTTATGGCTTTATCCAAGCCAGTGATTAAAAAAATATTAACAATAAAGAACCACACAGAGCTCTGGGGGTGCTCCTTTGTAAACCTCCTTCTAAGCTGAAGGTGAATCATTAATGACTACTCTTGAGGTTCTGCCATTCATCTAGTTTAGAACCACCTAATTATACTACAGAATCATATAACCCACATCTCTCCATATCTGCAATAAAATCAACAGGAGAGACTCCGAACTCTTACATTTATGACTATAGGCAAGTCACTTGAGTTTTCTGAATTTGTTTTCTCATTTGTAACATGGTGATAATAATGCCTGATTACCAACCCCCCATACTCCCAGTTTTGCTGTGAGGTTCAGATGAAGTATATGCAAAACAATTTCTGAACTTTAAATAGCTATACAAATGTCAGCTATTATGATTTACCAATCAAATATTACACTTGCAAATAAATTCTTTAACTTTATAAAGAATTCAGAGGTTCTATTTTATAAAGGCTCATAAGCTTCAATTTTTTAAGAATAAAAAGTCTCTGGATACAATCCCTTAAAACAAAAACCCCAATTTATATATGGGCCTATTTTTAAAGTTAAAGCTTACGACTGAAAAATAAAAATAAAAATGAGGTTTAAAATTTAGTGTCTAATCAATAAAAGTCATAATATTAGAGATGGCAAAGAAACAACTCTTTTGGTCCAATCCTCTCATTTACAGGTTAGAATACACAGGTCAGCTACAGCTACAGTTCAGTTCGAATCCCACCCCTATAAAACCATTTCCAGTCCTAATTAATTCACATGTTTTCTCCTTACTCTCATCTCCTGTAATAGCCTGTAGATGTACTCCCTTTACATAGCACTTATCATAGGCTAATTATGGTATCGTATAATAATAACTGTATTATTTAATATATAACCCATTTCTCCCCCCTCCCAACCCCCATTGTAAACTCATTGAGGAAAAAAGGACAGTATTGTATCTCTTTGTATCCTAACTACATGACACAGTCTTTCGCTTAGTAGGTGTTCAATAAATACTGATAAATTACAAATTATTTTGGTCACTGGATTATTTCTATGTTTTTTTCAATTAGAATTTATGTTGTGTAGAACTGAATGAACCATGTAAAGCAGAAAGAAAAATTTTGAAATGCACCATAAATAAATAAATCACTGGATTTACTTGGAAAGGCAAAGTTATGGTGGACAAAACACTAAGCCGAGACGGAAGACACAGACTCTAGCACTTAGTCCTGACTCTGCCCTCCTGACTCCAATTCTAGCTCTCTATCCACAACACTATCTTGCTAGAATTTTCCCCCAGAATCGTCTTGATTGCATGTTTACAAAGCTAACTATAAAAGCAGTAACAGCATTTTGTTGATTATTGGCTAGAGTAGCGGTGAAATTTAACAACCACTCATTTAAGATTGTCTTATCCCCCAAGTCAGAAGAAGCACTTAAGTTATGAGGACAACCTTAAAGACACTAGAAATTATATAACATGATTTAAGATGAATGCAGCAAATTTCAAGATATTTTGATGCAAAGTTTTCTAGTTCACAAGTTCCTATGATAGTCATTTATTTAAATTAAATAAATGTGCAGCACAGTTACAAATGGTTAGCTAACCTCATCTTTTGCACAGACTTATTAAAAGTATTTTGAAGATTAACGTATTGATAGATTCTTTTGATGTGATTACTTCTTAGCCCATTCTTCTCTTTCTTTTCTTTCACGTATAACCTCCTTCAGATATGGTTGAAGATATAATTTGTCCTAAAGAAAAAAGTGTCAAGATATATTATATGCTGTGATTACCAGTTTTACATATTCAATTTCTTTGAATTACTAACAAAGAATTCATTGAAACAATTACTTTTTCTAGTTCCAAATTAAGAGAAAACATTTTGAATTTAAAAACTCAGAAATACCAGATTTTCCCCCACAAAGATTTTTTTCAAAAATAGTTTTGCCAATTTATGGGAATGAATGCAGACATGAAGAGAAAGGCTAAAGGATGCTTGTCCTGAAATTCCAATTTTTGGAGACCAGACTGAACTTAGCCTCGTTCTAGAAAGCGAAAGTAGCCAAAACCCTCAATCACAGAAAGACAATTGGACAGACTGACTTACACAGTCATCTTTTTCCCCCTAACAATTCCTAATAGTCAGAATTCTCAGTTATATGAAAAGCTTTATACCTCTTCATATTTTGTCCACTGGTTTTTAGGCAATATCTGATGCCTCATGGTCAGGTCCAGAGCTCTCTTAATACGAAACATTCGATCATTATACAGATTCTCTGGAAGTCTCCTTATGGCCTCTTTAACATCTTCATCTTCATAAAGTGTGTCATCACGCATTAAACCTATTAACAGGAAAAGTAGATGAAAGAGTTGAATTGGACATTTTTTCAAAAACAAAAACTGTTGCAATTTTTTAAATCATGGAAACATCTTAGAACAGACATTACAGTTTAATATGTGAAGGGTCAGGAAGTAAAATCTATAGATGATTTGGTAACTATAGCTCAATTACTATTTGTTTTGAGGCAATTAGGGTAGACCCAGAACAGAAGGAACAAAGTAGGCTAGATTTCATTTGGTAAGTTGCACAGCATCTTCAATAGTCTTAAACTGCTCCTTAAATAAAAATCCAATTCTTCCCACTCAATCAACTCCAGTGGTTTACTGTCATTTACTGCTCTCCATAACCCAATGTCTTCCTACCATTCCAATCTTCTTATATTCTATTCCCCTACACAGCTGACATAATCCAGCCATACTGGCTTACTTGCTAAAGGACATGGTAGCTCTCATTTCTGGGCCTTTGCGCTGGCTGCCGCCCATGCCTAAAATACTCTCCCTCCCAAACTCTGACTTTTAGAATCTCTGGATTCCTTTAAGACTCAGCTCAAGAGCCATCTCCTCCAAGAGCCCTATCCTTGGCCCCCAGCTACTAGTGCTAGCTGCTGTAAAATTTTCTTTCACCTAATCTATATTTATCTTGTATATTCTGATTTAATACATATTATCCATCTCCTCATTTCCTCCCTACCCCATCCCCCCACTCTGATGGAAGGCAATGTTTTTGCTTTTTCTTTGTATCCTCAATGCTTAGCACAGTGCCTGGCACTTAATTTGCTGAATGATTTTCTTTAACACTCATATTCTCCCAGGGATATGACATGGTTGAGAATAAATGAATATCATAATTCAAAAGATTCAAAATTGTTAATGTCTTACAATAACCATACCTAAACAATTACATTTTAAGTTTGTGTTTAATCATACAAATAGTGCACTGCCATTTTTTGATACTTCCAAAATTTTTTTTTTTTTGCTTTTTGGTGAGGCAATTGAGGTTAAGTGACTTGCCCAGTCATACAGCTAGTAAACGTCAAGTGTCTGAGGCTGGATTTGAACTCAGGTCCTCCTGACTCCAAGGCTGGAGCTCTATCCACTGCGCCACCTAGTTGCCCCCCAATTTTCCAAAAGCCAACAACATTGTGTAGAAAGTTACAAAGACTATCTATATAGTCTCTGCAATAGTAAATTTCTTAACACTAAATCATTTCAAAATGACAGAATCTGTTTTTGAAAAAAGTACCATTTTTAGAATTTTTTTTAAATGCAAAGACAAAAATACCTACCAAGTTTGTTGAATCCTGCAGCATTGTAATACCACTTTCGAAGACTCTGGAGCCATCGGCTTGATGCTACAGCTGAAAGTACCATAATGTTAGTTAGCATTACTCATCAGAAATACACAAAGTTTGACAAGCAAACATTTTACATTATTCTGCCAATGTTTCTGGTTAGTTGCTTTACCTCTCAGCTCTCTAGAAAGGATGACTCTGTATAAGTTACAAAGAAGGTGCTGCTCTGCCTAGGTAGAATTTATTCATCTGAGAATTCCTTATACCAATATAGCTCCTATTCAAATACCTATATGATGCTGAATTTCATGGATCTATCTGAAAAGATTATAAGTGGTAAAGTAGTCAAGTCGAGGATAAAAAGTATCTTAAAGCTAAACAAGGAAACATGTAGTCTGTCACTTACTAATAATGTGATCCTGGACAAGTCTAACCTCTCTGGGTCCTAGTATCCTCATCTGTAAAATCAAGCTAACAGTACCTACCCCAAAGGCTTATTGTGAGGATCAAATGAGTTAACAAAATTGAAGTGTTTTGCAAACATTAAAGTGTTCTACACAGATGAGGAAAATGAGGTCTCAGAAGATTAAAATGATTGTCCAGGGTCACAAGCCCAGCTCTAGCCACTTCATCTAGTTATTTCATGCAAACCATTATAACTGATTTAAACTGGGCTAATGCAGGCAGTTCTTCATGTATAAACATTCTGCTACTAACAAGCAGACCATAAAGATAAAATAGTCCCTGTAGTGCCTGCAGCCTGCATACCCATCACTAAAACTCCAAATGCTGGGGTGAGGGGGGAACTGGGGAATTGAGCTGACTACAGATGCTTAAAGTGGCAGACCTGATAATTACTATGTGTCAAGTTGGCTAAACTACTTTTTATTATTAAGAGGGAGCACAGGTCAGGCATATTGGGAAATGATACTGATGTTAAAAAAGAAAAAAAAAACTTTGAAACACTGACAATGGGTCCTTAGCCACCTTGATCTCCATTAGTTTCTACAATCACATGCATTGTTAAAGAAATAATTGTCCAGATGTAACTGCTCAGTAAAAAACAAAACAAAAAAACAACAAAAAAAACCACTGATAATATTTTAATGGAGTACTTAGAGAGCCGATTCTGAGAAATAATTCTCAGGTCCTGCTTGCCTAAGTCCAAACTATTTTCCTTATCACTGCCTAAATGTTTTCTCTTCATTTTATTATACATAATAGCATAGTTTTAGAACTGGATGAGAGCTTAGAGACCCTTGGGTTCAACTCCCTCATTTTACAGATGAGGAAACTGAGGCACAGAGAGGTTAAGTGACTTGCCCAGGATCACATAGCTAGAAAACGTCTGAGACAGATTTTTTTACACAAGTCTTCCTGACTCCAAATTAGGCATGATTCCCCAAAATTCCTCAAATTAGAGATTCATTTTGGTTAAAAGCATCCTTTTAAAAATGCAAATACCTCTGAGAAGGTTGTTACTATCAATCATACATACATTTCAACAAGATTGCTTTTTAACATTTAGCTGGGATTTGTTCCTCCGGGGAAAGAATTTTGACAAGGTGCAGGGAGCATGAAGCACACTGGGAAATACCCATGTTGGCATCACTGTGGGGGGCTTCAGAGCAGCACTGAGGGGCAATGGATACCCAGGGAGAAAACTAGGAGGTTGAGATTGAGTATAGAGAAAGACTTAGCAAATGCAAAGCACAAAATGTCCATGTTAAAATTTTTGCCTAGGGACCTGCCCAGTAAATAAGAAAGGAAATTCTGTTCCGGTACCACATAGCTTCTTGGTCCAGGGTTTAGGGTTGGACAAGGAACCTAACCATATCCTCACAATAGGAAACTGTATTCTAAATAACTAACTTACAAATGAATTTTTGGAATACAACCGACAAATATTTCAATTAAACAAATTAAGTTCCTATGTTCCAAAAGGCACTGTGAAATACCCTTAGAAAACCGAAAACCATTCCTACTCTCAGGGATCATACATTGTAATGGGAGGAAATGCAAGTGTATTAGAAAGGATTTTCTAATAATTTCTACATATTCAAAACAATTCTATGGGGCTTTCTCTACCAAAGGAGGAGAGGGGTAGGTTGGAGGCACAAATTCTAGCTATAAATACTGGTAAAAAGAAAATTAAGTTTTGTCACTTAATCACTGGAGATCTGGAATAGAGGAAACCTCCTGGACTTGAGGAGACAGAAGATGAGAGCTCTAGCTCTGAAAGTATCACCTCTGTAACCTTGGGCAGGTTCATTTTTTGTCTCTAGATCTCAGTTTCCTGATCTATCAAGAGAAGAGATTGGACTAGAAGATGTCCAAAGTCCATTTCAGTTTTAACATTGCTATGATGATTTACAAATGTTATAGTAAGACAACTTCCACTAATCAAAAATTTTAAAGATCTGGAGGACAATTTAACTTACTTAAAAATCTTTGAAAGCATCCTGTTTATATGCAAAATCTGCAACTAATCACAAATGAGTCATCCATTTATTGAAAGTAATAAGAATTAATATATTTGAAAGCAATAAATCTCCATGTCTCTGGAAATATTCCACAATTTAAATACACTCCTTTAGGCATTTTTAAACATTCAACTGAACCAAAATGTAATTATTTAATAATTATCTAATTTTCTAAACAGATATTTGGTGAATGAACAAGCACCTACATTGTTAGATTAGTAGGGGCCTAGTTTCCCCTAATCTTGTTGTTATTACCACATTTTTTCATCTTCTGTCAGAAAAGATCATCCAATGATCTCAGGTCTTTTGACTCCAGTTTCCAGCTCTTCCCACCTGATTCAGTGGGGGGGCGCGGACACGAAAACAGGCAAAGAAAAAATGCTTCTCTGATCCAAGGGGGGGGGGAGGGGTGATGAGTCCAAAAGAGAAGTATTAGAGGGGGGCTCAAATCTACCCAAGCTATCTTTTTAGAGCACGTTAAAGGGGAAGAATAAAACAGCTACACTATTTTTGAAAGGGCATGTCCTTTGTAGATGAAGTTCTTCCTCCCCCAATAATTTCAAGACATTCAAAACAATCCTCAGCGTTTTTTCCCTGGCAAAGGAAGGCAGAGGCATGAATTCTAGCTAGAAATACTATAGAAATAAAAGTAACTTTTGTCACTTAATCACAAGAGATTTGGAATAAACTTCCTGGACTTTTGAAGCTAGAAGATGAGAGTTCTGGCTCTGACACTGCTACCTAAGCAACCTTGGACAGGTTCCTTTCTGTCTCTGGATTTCAGCTTCCTGGTCTATCACCTCCTGAGATATCCGATTCAAGATGTCGAATGAGACCTACACATTTTTTGGGCGTGGACGAATTTATTTTGCTTGGCTACGTATATCTATTTGTCCCAAGATATTTTTTTTCTTTTAAATTGCTAGAAATGAGATAGGGCGGAAAATAAATGCTTTCTAATTGAGGAATAAAATGGAAATTTATAAAGTCCTGCCTCTCCACAAGCCCTCTCTGCACTACAGTCCAATTCAAAGATTGATTCAGGTGCAGGACGGAAAAAAGGCAGAGGTGAGGGAAATGCAATTCTTTCATAGAATGAGATTATTTCAGAATAGCCAGTATTTGTGTGGCGCCTTAAGACTTGCAAAGCGCTTGGATAAGTAACTGCTGTGCACATACGAAATATGCAAAGCGCTTTTCATACCTCCGCTCGTCTACTTGACTCTCCCTGCGGGACAGGCTCTATTATTACCTGAATTTTACCGACCGAGAAACGGACTTTCGCAGCGTCAGCAGCCCATCCAGCCCCGTGACAGCCGGGGAGCCGCCACCCCACCCCAGGTCACCTTGGGCCCGGTCAGTCCAGACCTAGCCTCCGTCGAGACGCTTCCCCGGGGCTGGGGCCTCCCACCTCCCTGCCGCCCGCCGCCTGCTCCAGATGGCTGGAGGAGCCGCGGGAAGGCTGGAGGGCGCCTGGAGCCCATCCCAGCCCAGCCCACCCCACCTGGATTTCAGGAACCCCGATTCCTTACTAGGTACCCGCGTCGCCATCTCGATCTGGAGAGACGGGCGCTTTGCCTGCTGGGTAAGTCCTAGAGGACACTAGGAATCACGTGGAAAGGAAGTCCGGCCTCCGCAGGCGAGGGGGCGGGGCTGAGCGCGAGAGCGAGCGTTGCTCCTGCGCAGGCGCCCTTCGGCTTTCACCTTTTAATGGGTAGAATTCTACCCACTGAAGATTGAATGTTCATTTGACTATTGGCTGGGCCCCTTATCTCTTTGAGCCAAACACATACGTCATTTTTTCTAAGGTCCCCAAATACAGATTAGTATCTTGAAAACACTTTTATTGTTGTTATTGTTGTTAAGTCATGCCCAACTCTCCAGGACCCCTTTTGGGGTGTTCTTGGCAAAGCTACTGGAGCAGTTTGCCATTTTCTCCTCCAGGTCATTTTTACAGAGGAAATGATGGTTAAGTGATTTGACCAGGGTCACACTGCTAGTATATCTCTGGGGCTACATTTGAATTCAAGTGTTCTAGTCGTACTTCATACATTGGTTTATAATAACAGGTGCAATGTCAACAAATTATCAAAGTCCCTTTCAGCTCTTAGACTCTGGGAAGGGTAGGGAATTACTGGGAACACAGAATGGGGGGGAGGGGGAAAATTAGGGGTGGGCTGTTGCTAATGCTTACCAGACAGTGAAAGCTGATTATTAAACTTTCAATATGGGTATTTACATTTCATATATCAGGCAAACCCTACAAGTTAGGACTCAACTTATTGTCTTGTTGACTTCTAGGCTAAGAAAGTCATGGAGAAAAAATGTTAATAATTCAGATTAAATTTAAAAGTGTGTGTATAGGATAGTCAGCTGTTGAACATCTACCAGCACACCACTGGTTGGAAGGGACATCCATCTGGTGCAATATGTCAGAACTTGAAATACTACTTTGAAAAGGTTGACCACCTCTGCCTATTTAAAAGAAAAAAAAAAGGAAAATGTAAATTTTTTCTTTTTAGAAAAAGAAGTCTTGTTTCTTTCCTTTGAATGTGCTTACAATCTTGTTGAGGAATCATAAACAGGTGAACAGGAATCGCCCCCTACAAGTCAGACAAGTATTCATTCAGCCTTTGCTTGAAAACTTGCAGGCAGGGGATATTTCCCAAGGCAGCCATCCCATTCCACTTTTGGATAGCTCTAATTTTTGGCAAGTTCTTCCTTAAAAATAAATTTAGGCAGGCCCATGCTTATAATCCCTGGTACTGGGGGGAGGCTGAGCCTAGTGGATCACGAGCTGGGGAGTTCTGAGCTAGAGTAGGGCTAAAAGCTGATCACTGACCACACTAAGTCAAGCACCAATACTATGAGCCCCAGAGAGTTAGGGGCCACCAGGATCCCAAAGGAAGGCAAAAACTGGCACAACTTGGAAATGAGCAAGTTAAAACTTCCATACCAATTGGCCCATGAATGGCCCTACTGCAGTTTCAGCTTGGGGTAAGAGAGGGAGACAACCTCAAAAAATACAAGCAAACAAACAAAACAAATTTAAATCTGCCTCTCTATAGCTTTCACCCATTGTTCCTAGTTCTGCCCTCTACACCAAGCAGAACAAGTCTGGCCCCTCCTGTGTGTGACAGCTGTTCAAAATCCTTGGACAGCTATCTATGGTCTCCTTTCCTCTTTGTCCAGTTGTTTTAACAGACCCTCATAGGGTTTGGTTGGGTTGGTAAGGCTGCTCAGCTTAGTCTGCCTTTCTCTGCAGTATCTTGTCAATGTTCTTTCTAAAATGTGGCACACAGAACTGAATGAAATACCACAGATACAGGCAGCCTTGTACAAGAGAAAAACCTTGGATACTGGAGTCACAAAACTTTAATTCCAGTCCTGTTCCCACCAATTACTGAAATTCAAAGGGATTCTGACAAGTGAAACTATCAAAAAATTCCCACTTCTCAGAAGCAAAACAGGCTAATGTGAGGATGGGGAACACATGGGAGCTGAAGGCTTCTACTTAAATTCAATTTTTAAAATTTTCTATTGATACCTTTAGTTTTTATAGCTCCTACATTTCCCTCTGTATCTATCCCTCCCAGCAAGCCATGTCTAGTAACAAAGAAAAAAAAAAAGACACGAGAGAAAAAAAATTCAGCAAAATCAATCAACATACTGAAAAAAAAGACTTTATAAGCAATGTTCCATATTTGTGTACCTCCACTTCTTCAAAGCAACAGGGGTATCTTCTCACATCTCTTTTTTGGGGGCCAAAGTGTCTTCATTATATTTTGCAACATTCAGTTTCAATTGGCTTGTGGTTGTTCTATTTACATTATTGTAGAAATTCTGTATATTGTTTTCTTGGTTCTGCCTACTTCACTTTGCAAGAGCTCATGTAAGTCCATGCTTCTCTGTATTCATCTCAAATTCAACATTTAAAAAAATTAAATTCTTTTTGGAAGCCCAGGATCAAGATTTTCTTTGCACTTGGTCAGGAGGTCTTATACAAGTAGAAAGAAAAGTTGAACTCACATTTTATTTTTTAAAAAAATGAGGTCATTCACCAAGAGCTCCTTATCTTCTCTCCGAATCTCATGTCTCTGATATCTTTTCAAACTCATCTCCTCCTACTTCACCCTAGTCTCTTGAAAAAATAGCCATTATGCTTGCCAACCTCTCTAATTCACCCTTGATTCCACTCCTCCCCATCCTCTCCAGTAGACTACTCCACCATCACCTCTAATCTTCTCTCTCTTCCTATCTTCTAGTTCCTTTTCTGCTTCCTGTAAATACACATTTCTCCCACTTTCACTAGCTCCTAACTTTACTTTCTTTTAAAGCTAAACTCCTTGAGAAAGATGCCTATGCCACTTCATCTTCTCTTACTCTTTTAAACCCTCTACAACCTAGTTTCCAACTTCATCATTCAACTGAAACTGCTGTCTCCAGATTTACCAAAGCTATCTTAATTGAGATGTCTAACAACATTTTCTCAATCCTCATCCTTCTTGAGATTTCCAAAATACCTGAAATTGCTGACTACCTTCTCCTCCTAGGTATTCTCCCCTCTGAGTTTCTTTGGCTGTGATTACTCTCTTAGTATCATCTGACCACTGCTTCTGTCTCTTTTGATGGATCTGCATCCATGTCATGCCCTCTAACCTTGGCTGTCCCCCAAGGATCTATCATAAGTGAACGCTCATCTCTCTTCTTTCTATGCTCTCTTATTAGGTGATCTCATCAGTGGTTTCAATGATCATTTCTATGCAAATGACTCCTAGAGCTTTATATGTAACCCTAGTGTCTCCAGAGCGCCTGTGCTGCATCACCAAATATCTCTTGGACATTTTGAACCAGATGGTATCTTATACTCATCATGTACCAAAACAGAACTTTTCTCAGAAAATCTCTTCTGAACTTTCCTGTTACTGTTGATGGCACTGCCATCCTTCCAATCACCCAGGTTCCCAACATCAGTGTCATCCCTGTTTCTTCTCTCTCACTCATTTCACATATCCAAGTCATATCACATATCACATATCCATAGTCATATCACATATCCAAGTCAAATATTGGTATTTCTTTCTCTACAACATCTCCTGTATTTCTGAGTATCCCTAATGTTTGTCCATAGTAAGCACTTAGTAAATTCATATTAACTGGTTGACCAGAAAGCCTTAAAAACCAAAAGATTGGGCCTTGAAACTCAGGTATTATGAATAAACATAGCGATCTATGTTTATGGATCTCTTTGAAACCACATAAGCTCTTTGAATTTCTATTTCTTTATTTATAAAACTGACATAACTTGCACTACCTGATCCCCACAGCACCACAGATACAAAGAAAAGTCAAAAGATAGTCAGTCCCTGCTCTCCAGGAGTTCACAGTCTAGTGGGAGAGAGAATATGCAAACAGCTATGTACAAATGAAACAGGATAAATGACAGATAATCAGCTTAGGGAAGGCATTAGCATTATGGGAGATTGGCAAAGGCTTCTTGTAAAAAGTGGAATTTTGGCTGGGACATGAAAGAAGCCAAGGTTCCCCAATTGATAAATGATCAAAGGATATGAACAAGTAGTTTTCAGAGGAAAAAATTAAAGCTCTCTAGAGTCATATGAAAAAATGCTCTAAATCATTATTGATTAGAGAAATGCAAATCAAAACAACTCTGAGGTACCCTATCATCACCCTATCAGACTGGCTAACATGACAAAACAGAAAAATGATAAATGTTGGAGATGTGGGAAAACTGGAACATTAATGCATTGTTGGTGGAGTTGTGAACTGATCCAACCATTCTGGGGAGCAATTTGAAACTATGCCCCAAAACTGTGCATACCCTTTGACCCAGCAATACCACTTCTAGGTCTGTATCCCAAAGAGATTATAAAAATGGAAAAAGGATTCACATGTACAAATATGTTTATAGCAGCTCTTTTTGTGGTGGCAAAGAATTGGAAATTGAGGGGATGTCCATCAATTGGGGAATGGCTGAACAAGTTGTGGTATATGATTGTAAAGGAATGCTACTGTGCTATAAGAAATGGTGAGCAGGGAAATTTCAGAAAAACCAGGAAAGACTTATATGAACTGATGCTGAGTGAAATGAGCACAACCAGGAGAACACTGAACACAGAAACAGCCACACTGTGCGATGACTGACTTTGATAGACTTAGCTCTTCTCAGCAATGCAAGGATCGAAGACATCTCCAAAAGCCTCATGATGGAAAATGCTATCCACATCCAGAGAAAGAACTTTGGAGTCTGAATGCAGATGGAGGCATAATTTTTGCTCTCCTTTTCTTTTATTGTTTTGTTTTGTCTCTTCTTTCTTATGATTCCTCCCATTAGTTCTAATTCTTCTTTACATCATGACTAATGTGAAATTTTGTTTAATATGAATGTATAAGCAGAGCTTATATCAAACTGCATGCCATCTTGAGGAGGGGGGAAGAAAGGGAGGGGGAGAAAATTTAAAACTCAAAATCTTATGGAAGTGAATGCTGAAAACTAAAAATAAATAAATTATTTAAAAAAGAAAGAAGCAAAGGAATCCAAGAGATGAGAACATTCCAAGAATGGCGGACAGCCAGCGAAAATGCCCAGAGTT